ATATATTTTTTAAGAATCATCATATATTCAATTAACAAACTCAGGTTATCCTCCAAATAATGCATAATAGTGTTACCTTCTGATATATATGAATATCTTTATGATATATATTCATATATTCATATATATATCATGAATATATATCATATTGATATATTGATGATATTGATCATATTGATTAATATATATTCATATATATATTCATATATATATATTCATATATATATGATATATATGAATATCTGCAGCCCTGTGCCATGTGCTCTAGGTGACCCTACGTGTGCAGGGGGGTTGGACTCGATGACCTCTGAGGTCCCTTCCAACCTTGGGCATTCTATGATTCTATGATTCTATGATTCTTCATGCCTCTCAGCCCAGCAACCCATACAATGAAAGTCTTGAAGTGACTAGCGTCCACTGATCATATTGGTTTTGGCTTTTGATATTTAGAAAAGGAACTGGATGCTTTTGGCCAAATGTGAGCCCCAAAACACTAGTCCAAGCTGGAACATCATGGTGCATTCCTACTACATCATCATCCCTTCTGACTCTGCCACACTGCTGGTCAAAGCAGTCGCCGTCAGAGAGCTCCTGCTGCCATCAACATTCCCAGCCCTCCTCACTGAGCATCCTGAAAGAGTTTGTGGCCCTATAGAGGCAAGTCACTGATGACCCTGCACCAGAACACATAGAAGAAATCCCACTGTGCAAGCAGGGATTGGGTAATCATCAAACCTTTTGCACAGGACGTGCTGTTGTTGCTAACGATGTACCTATCTTCTGTATTTCTTGGGAACAGGGATCTCCTCACACTGCAGAAATTGGTGCTTTAAGCGTAAGATAAATGAACACAAGATGTCTCTGTTTCTTCCAACAGACTCATGGTTCTGTATTTCCTGTTGTGCAGCCCTATGTGTTTTTCTTGAGTTTTCTAGCTCTGCTTCAGGTGCTGCCAGAAAGGACAGAGCCCTGAGTACAAGTTTAGCAAATGAAAAGAGGAGGAAACAGCTGTGAAAATGGCTAGTGCCAGCTGGAGTATGATGGAGCACTCCAAAACTTCCTCCCAAGAGTTTATATATATTATATGTATATGTATATGTATACATGCCCTGCAGTTTTCTTCTCAGTGCCTGCAGTGTTGCTGTGTGGGATGGAGATTTTCCATAGCTCAGGGGCTGGGAAGCCATTGGAATGCAGAAGCAGAAGCTCCAGGCCTGAGGTGTGCATGGAAACAGACCCTACTTCCTGCTTCTGTAACAGCCTTGCAGTCCTTGCTCAGATGAGCCTCAGAAAAGCCCACCTGCAAGCTTTTTTTGTCCCCAAAGCAGAGCAGAAAGCCTTGGAATCTGCCTTGTTGAAAGGCACAGATGAGGGGCCTGAATGCAAAGCAAAGGCCATGCGCTCTTGACATCAGAGCTGCCCATCCTTCCCCATGGAAGTTCCTCTAGGGATACAGGATGGTGAGAGTGGGTTAGTGCTGGAGCTGCTCTGGCAGCCCCTGCTTCCTGTTCTGGGCAGGAGGGAATAGTACCGTACCCTGCAAGGGAAGGCAGAAGCCCATCAGGACCTGGCTGCAGACACCCATTGCTCTGTACACAGCTCAGAGCAGTCCTTGTGGCTAGCAGGACAGCCAGAGGCCCTTTTGCCCATCACTGCACAATGGCAAAGATCATCTGCGGCGCTTATCCCTGGGGAGGGAAAACAAAAATCAAATATCCTGTTCCCCCCAAAAAACTGAAATGCTGCAGCCTCCACTCGTCACACCGCACCTTCAATGTGCCGCTTTCTTCCACCTGAGCAGAGCGCCCTGAACAGCCTGGAAGTGGAAGTTACTTATAACCCCTTGCACCTGAGGAACAACCTCTACAAGTACCTGAAGAACGTGCTGCGCAGACCCGTGCAGAGGCAGCAAGCCCAGCCCAGGGAGCAGCGGCCGGAACGGCACCAGCCCAAGCAGGTATGTCTGTCCTCCTCAGCTAGCCCAGCCTGTCCTGCCCTTCTAGCCCGCTTCCCTCACAAGTGGTGAGGCCGCTCTCCAGCACCCCAGCGGTTCAGGAAGGGCAGCACAGGACAGGAGCAACATTCTCTTGCAGCTGGAAGAGCCAAGAGGGAGGGCTGTGGCGTTGGTACATGTACTCAAGGAGGGGATGTTGAGCAGTCAGCACATGCATGCACAAGCAGCCAGAGTGCTGTGAGCTGCTTGACAAGCCAGCTCCCCCTTGCACATTAATATCTTGTCCTGCATTGCAGCATCAGAGCAGAGCCAAAGCCACAGTAGCACCTCTTCTGATGGCTCCTTCTCCTGTCCAAGTGTTGAGAGCAGCAGCAGTGGGGAGAGACTCCTGCGAGCACTCGCTCCTCTTCGGAGAGGAGGATGAGTTCATCGAGGCCCTGCAGTGAGGATCCCCACGGGCACCGCTGGCCTGTGCGTGCGCGGCTGCCGCGTGGCCTCTGCCAGGCTGCCAACCTCCCGCTCGGGACCGGGAGCAGCGAGGCCAGACACTGAGCCGGGCCCGGACAGGCACTTCCCGCTGGTTGTTCCTCCTTGTTGTTTTATGGTTTGTTAGTCATCCGTCAGCTTGCAGGAAGCTGCTGCCCGGGGGCCCTCTGCCCAGAGCTCTGTCTGTCCCCGGCAACACCCCCTTTCCCGTCCTCGTCAGCACATCACCAGCATGCAGCACGTTTGGGTTACTGAGAAGCAAGAACAACCCACAAGCCACAGGCTGATGTCAGTGAGCGCAGAGAGCTGCAGTGCGGCGGCAAGGAAGTCAGGCAGATATCTAAAGCAGGCAGAAATGGCAGGTTCTCGTCATCCTGCAGCAACGGCTTCAGCAAGGCGCTGAGATAAGCATGAAACAGGGCTTTTCAATTCAATCCGAAAGCCCTGAGCACTTCCCTCCCGAGCGCCCGCGATGACACCATTTTGCCTGCTTCCGTATTTGAGCCCTCTGTTGAACCCCTGCTCTCCACAGCTCCCCAAGGGGGTTGAGGGCCGCGTGCCAGCCAGGGGCCGTGTCCTGGCCAGCAACATCACCGTCACGGCCAGCGGGGCTCTCCTCTCGCAGCCCTGTGCTGCTGGACTCACTCCTCCCGGCCCAGCTCTGCCTGCGGGGTGCATCTGCAAGGCAGCACTGACAGGGCTGAGAAGCAGGGATTCAGCCTGAGGTTTTCTAGAAAGATTCTGTCGTGTTTGCCCAGGGGCCAGTCTGTTCTTAGTGCAGGCAGAGGAGAGCTGCCTCGGCTGAAGGGAGCCAGGGCAGACTCACTGCAGCTTCCTGGGTGTGGAGCTGGGGTTCCCCGTACCTTGTTCTGGTGGTCTGTTTCAAAATAAAGTTCTCCTGTGTCACTGTTAACCCAAGGCCAGTAGTTAATAGCATGCACAGTGTGCAGCACTGCCAGCATTGACCCGTCTTTCCCAAGAAACAGGCGCTGTTGGCCAAGGCTGTGGCACAGGCACCATGTTGCATGGAGGCTGCCGCTGCAGCACAGTGGAGCGACCCCGGCTCTGCCTGGGACACCCGTTTGTGGGGCAGGCACCGCGGTTGCAAAGCGGCCAGCAGAAGACAAGGTGACAAGGAAGGAGGCAGACCAAAGAAATCCTAATCCAGTGAGAGTCTATCGAGATCATCCCCTTGCCTCGAGACAGGGGCCACTGCAGACCTTTGCTCTGGCGGCAGGAAGGCTGCAAACGGCTGAAGATTCACTCTGTGTCTGCCTTCCTGCACCTTTCCAAGGCCATTCCTGAAGCATTAATACATCCCTGACAACTGCCAGAAAGGAGATGAAGTGGAGAAAAAAGGGCAGCAATGCAAGGAAGATGACAGGTTTGGTCCACAGCAGCAAGCTAGAAAAGAAGGGATAGTCTTTCCTGAGCAGCAGAAGCCAAGAGCTTTCCCCAGCCCACATCTCCCCGGTGCTACGCAGGGTGCCGCGCGCAGGCTGCCTCCTGCCCCAGGCTCTCGCCTCACAGGCCCGAGCCGGCTGCTGCGAGACCCAGTGTCACCATGGAAGCAATGAGGAAAATGCCCCTTCCTCCCCGCAGGGAGCAGGAGGAAAGGGCTGCATGGAGCACCTGGTCCTGGTGCCGATGCAGGAGCATCTCCCTTCTCTCCCGCCCTGTTCAGTGAGGCTGGGCAGGAAGGCAAACCCAAGGGTCATGCAGCACCCACAAGCCAGGAACAAGCACGGGCTCCTGCCTAAGGCCACACGTCCCTTCTCCCACTGCCAAACCCTGGCAAGGCAGAGGGCTGGCCCAGGACAAGGAGCAGCCCCAGACTGGTCCTGGTGTGGCGACAGGGAGTGAGGCTTCCCCAGCCCTCGGCACCCTCCAAGACCCGCCACAGAGCTCCCCAGCTCCATGACATCTCAGCAGGGCCGTGGACATGAACCTGGACCTCCAAGCCCTCACACTGGTTTATGCCTCCCCGTCTCTGGACTGGCACTGCAGAAGTCACGTTTAATCTTCTGCACAGGCACTGGTGCTGCTGCTTGCTCATAGCAGCAGCCGGGTGCACTACAGACTGCAGCCCCTGCCAAACGCAGGGACGAGTGACACTGGTGTCTACTCCAGGTCCGCAGAGAAGGGGCCAACCCAGGCTTCCCAAGGGCACAAGTTGGTTCAGCAGTGATGGGGCTGAGGGAGACCCTTCAACTCAGTGGCCACCGAGCTCCAGCACAGACCTGGAGCTTAGGGCCCAGGTCAGGCTTTTGTTCTGTTAAGCTTAGAGGAAACTCCAGTTTTCAGGTCATCCCAGCATTTCACACTCTGAGCAGCAATTGAGCTCCCTGCAAGCCTGATTCTCGCTCCTCTTGCACCCCTGGCATCACAGCATCCCCCCCGGAGCTGGCCCAGCACCCACTTCTCGTTGTGGTTTCCTCCCAGCTCAGGAGCTCTGCTGCAGAGCCGCGTGTGCCCCGATCCCTCCTGCAAGACGGGGCACTCTGCTTAGCACCACTGAACGGGCATCTCGCAGGCCTAGCAGCTGCCTGGCCCAGACATGCCACAGGCAAACGTCTCATTCCAAGGCACTTAGATATAATATCAAAATAATTTTGTATAAAAATATGTTGGGAGATGGTGATGGCGAGAAATCCTCCGTATAGAGCAGGCCATGCAAGAAACAGGCATCCAGTCTTGCATTCGGGCTGGACAGGCAGCCAAAGCAGAGCCAGAGGTTCCGGACCCACAGCAGCCGATGTGGAAAGATGCAGCGCTGTCCTCCTGCAGAGCCAGGAGGTGGCTGTGGACCCACCTCCATGGCCAGGGAAGCACCCTGGACCTGCATCAGCCCCGGCTCCTGCCCTCAGCTGTGCAAAGACCCCCAGCACTGACAGGCTGCAGGGGCGCTGCCTCCCCCAGGCCAGTCCCCAAGGCCAAGGCCACGTGCAGGAGCCATGTGGGTCAGAAACCCACACTGCTCATCAGTGGCTCTGCGCCCCACCGTGCTCCCCTGGCAGGCACAGTGGCAGCGCATTATATCTCTCCCAGGTCCTCGTAGACGGGCGACAAGCTGATTTCATCCACAGACTGCTCCTTCTTCTGCATGTGCTGGGGCTTCACCACCTGGCTGTACAGCACCTCCACGTTGTTATTGTTGCTGCTATTAAGGCTGGGCTTGATGACCATCTTCTCAGGAGCAGGGGTTACCCGTCTTCTGGCTGGGTCCATGCTTCTCTCGGCAGCTTTAGGGATAAACGTTGCCTGGGGCTTGGGGGCAGGCACTGGCTTGGGGCCCTTGGCCTTGAAGGCAGGTACTGAATAGTCATCCGTGCTGGGGTTGTAGGGATACTCGTAGCCATCCCTGCCCTCATGGCCCTGGGTACGCCAGGCCTCATCTGTGGGCCGTGCTTCATCATAGATGCACATGGAAGGGGACAGAGAGCGCGGGGCGCAGCCCTCGGGCTCATCGTAGATGGGCTCCTTGCGCGTGGGCGGCCGCGGCGCCGGGCTCCCGCCGTCCGCCTGCACCTGCTCGTACATGGCGGAGTAGAGCGGCACCCGCAGCTTGGCCTCCTCCAGGGCCGCGCCGGGCGCCTTAGCCTTGCTCCCGGCCTTGCTGTCTATGGGGTCCGAGTAGAGCGGGTCCAGGCGGCACCGAGGGGCCTTCACCGAGTCCAGGGGCTCCGAGTACACACTGGACAGGTCCTCAGCTGGCAGCACGGCTCGGGGCACTTTGGGCATAGGGGAGCGCGGGGGTGTGCTCGGGACCACAGGCTTGGCTTGCGGCACGGGGGGCTCCGGAAGAGTCCGGCTCTTGAGCACAGACGCAGCGTCTCTCTCCTCTGCCGCGGCGCTGGGCCTGGCGGGGGGCCCCGCCTTGGGGACCGCAGCGCTGTCCCCCTCTGCAGGCATCTCCAGGCTCAGGGAGTCGGCCAGCGCCTGGCGGATCAGCAGCAGGCCGGCGCCATCCGCCTCCAGCGAGTCACAGCTCTGCCGCTTCTCCTCCACCTGCGCCTTCTGCTCCCGGATGGAGGCTTCCACCAGGCGGAAGATCTCATTGCCCTGCTTGGTCTCAAAGGTGAAGTTCCCTGGGCCAGAATCACAGCGCCTGCCAGCTTCGAAGGAGAACATCACCTGCAGGGATGGGCAAGGGTCACGTCCTGCCCGCTCCCTGCAACCCAGAATGCAGGACATTGCTTCCTGCTGAGGAGCAGGCGGCTGCAGGACCAGGCCTGCACTTCCAGCAAGGAGCTGCTCCCTCCCTGTGGATGAGGGTGGCCGCTCGGAGCCCTGCGCCAGTGCTGCAGTGTGCTCTGCAGCTGCGCAGCAGCGCTGGGCCTGCGGGGGCAGCTGCACCGCCCGCAAGTCTGGAACAAGCTGTGAAACAGCAGCGGGACACACTGGACGAGACATCACTGCAAGGCACTCCATGCCCAGGTCCTGCTAGAGATGTCCTGCTGCCTCCCTTGAGCTTTTCCAGCTCACACTGGGTAGTGTAGGAAATAATACGCGTTTGATCTAGGGACAAAGCAGGGTGACAAGGTTCAAGCAGGAGAAACTCCTATGTCAGAAGGGTAAGTCAGCATTAGTGAGCTTTCCATGCAAGACAGGCCAGGAGCAGCAGCTTGGCTACCAAAGGCCAATGAGCAAAGCATCTGCTTTAGGAGCACTATTCTGTTAGTGCTACAGAGTGCACTTCACTCTGTGCAGCTTCATAGGGAAGTTTTGCAGCAGGCCGTGTGCGTTTCTTAGGTTCTGAACACACACACAGATGCGCAGGTTCCCACTTGCGGATGGCAAGATCCCTCCTGAACCTCAGTCCCTGAACCCCGATATTTTCTGCTTGGTGCTCTCTCCTGTGCAGCACCCTGCATACCCCAAAATGCTCCTAATAAAGCCAAGATGTAGCTTTGAGGAGCAACTGCAGCAGGACCCAACTACACCTGAACCCCCTGCTCCAGCCGGCCCAGGTCTGAGCACCCCACCAAGCTCAGGCAGGCTGTGACCGCGGGGCAGCCGCTGCACGTGCTCCATGTGCCGCATGCTCTAGTGCCGCCCCAGCACAGCCCCGCACACGGGCCGGATCCTCCCCAGGAGCTGCTCGGCCACTTCCCCCTTCTGTTCTCGTGAAGTGCAGCAGAAGGTGCTTGGAGGAGGCTGCAGCCGACACCGCTGCTTCTACAAAGAGCAAGGCCCGACCGCTTCCTCTGTGGGCAGCCCAGCCGGCCAGGCAGGTGCATCTCGTACCCGGGGCAGGAGCGGAAGCACAGGGAGATGCTCTGCTGAAGGATACTGGGCAGGAGAGAGGCCTAGGGGGTTGGCCAAGCTCAGAACACACACCTGGAAGGACGAACAAATCCGTCCCAACCAGACAAAACCCCCTTGAACCAAACCCCTGTGCGAGATGCACACTGCAGCCAGGACAGGAGGTGCACGTGGAGCCTGGGCTGCAGGGACCCGAGATCGCTGCAGGCTTCGGCAGCACTGCAGGACACAGGAGCCAGGCACATGGGGCAGGGGCAGCCGGGAGCGGAGCACAGGGCGTGATGCGGCTGCAGGGCGGCCTGCTGGGAGCCGGGTAGCCCAGTGGCAGCGGGACGAGGACCATGTGCTGAGGGGCTCTGCATGGCTGCCTGCAGCGGGCGCATGTGACACGGGGGACACCCAGCACCGAGGCTGGGGACAGGCTGGGGAGCACAGACGAGCCCTTCCTGCAGTCACCACGGCCCATGACAGCTCCGGAGCACGGCAGCAACTGGCGGCTGCCTGGGCTCTCCTGGCGCCGCCGCTCGCTGCCCTTGCACAGGGCCTCAGCCCCGGCCCCGACCCACCTTGTCTCGGCCGTATCTCCGCAGCAGCCGGTAGGGCCAGACGTAGAGGGTCTCCTTACTCTGCGGGTCCTTCAGGACGAGGCTGTCCCGCTCGGCCTTGAGCACGTAGGTGCCCCGCAGCTCGCAGCGCTCTGCCGCCTCCGTCCGCTGCACTGTCACCCAGAACACGTTTGCTGTGGGGACAGAGGTGATCGGCGCACGCAAACAAAACAGCCCCAAGCTTCAGGACAGGCCCAGCCTGGCCCGCAAGATGCCCACCATGCGGCAGGACAGGGACACGGCCCGGGAAGGGCACGCGAAGCCCAGCAGCAGCCCCTACCTTCATCCCGCGAGTAGTAGATGGAGTTCACGGCCATCTCCAGGGCCGGCGCTTCCCCGCCGCCCGCCCTGCCGCGCCGGGCGGCCGTGCTGGCATTGCTGGGGCCGTTCCCCTGCCGAGGGAGAGCGGATCAGCCCGAGACACCTTGTCCCTTGTCAGTGTCAGCGCCTGCCCTGGCTCCACATGCACCTACGGCCCAGTCTGGTGGCAGGGGCCCTCCCCAAGGTCCCACCTCGGCCACCCACAGCCCGGCCCTTCCCGAGACACACGGAGCTGTAGCAGGGACAGACCCTGCGCGAGACCCTCGGTCACACGCACCCGAGGGGCAGCCCTGGGGCTGCCTTTAGAGTCACAGAATCATTATGGATGGGAATGACCTTTGAGATCATTGAGTCCAGCTGTAACCCCCTCAACACCACAGGTGTTAAACCATGTCCCTAAGCACCTCATCTACACAATTCTTCAACACTGCCAAGAATGGCGACACCACCACTTCCCCAGGCAGCCTGTTCCAATGCTTTACTCTTTCCATGCAGAAATCCTTCCTAATGTCTACCCTGAGCCTCCCATGGTGCCACTTGAGGCCATTTCCCCTTGTCCTCGCTGTAGTTACTCTGGAGAAGAGATGGACCCCGCCTCATTACAGCCTCCGTCCAGACAGTTGCAGAGAGCGATAGGGTCTCCCTGGAGCCTCTTCCCCTGCACACTGACCAACCCCGGCTTCCGCAGCCGCCCCTCACTAGGTCTGTGCTCCAGCGCCTTCCCACCAGCAGCACTGGGGCACCCCTGGGTGCAGGAAAGCAGCAGTGTCCCCAGCGTTCCGGTTCCCAGGCTCCAGGCACCCGCTGGTGGGCGGCTGCGGCAGCCTGTGATCCCGCGTGCCCCGCGCCGCAGGGCCACGGCCACCCGGATGTCCTGCTGTCCTGCTGGCAGCCGCTCTGCTTCCTCTCGGCTGTGCTCCAACGCAGGCGGCATCGGCAGCACAGCACCGCGCAGCCACCGCCGCCGCCGGGCACTGGAGGCAGCGCGAAACGCGAGGCTCTGCCTCGGCCTCCCGCACGGGCAGGGAGGCGGCAGCCGCAGCTCTGCGCAGCCCGCAGAAGGGAAGCGGCGCCTCCGCATTTAGCACATGCAGAACTGAAAGTGCAGTGCAAACACTGCTGCGCAGAGCCAGGGCGCTGCAGCTCCGTCCCTGTGGGGACGCATGTGCCCACCCCAGCTACCACAGCAGAGCAAAGAGCCCCGCCAGGGAAGCCCCACACAAATCAAAGGCCTGCAGGTGCCTTTTGTTGGATTTAGCATGAGTGCCTGTACCCTGACAGCACCTGAAAAACGTTTCACTGTCAAAGCACGTGGGATGGGGCTGCAGCAGAACACGCATCTTGCAGAAGGCAAAATGTCACATTTTCAGTTCAAACCTGGCCAAGTGGCCTTCCCCACAGGAGGCAAGGTCCCCGCAGGACCTCCTCAGACTGGGGACTGCTGAGACCTGGCGTCCTAGAGCTGAGGGCCCCTGCTCAGCTACAGCATCCAATGCAGAAGGGCTTCAGCCCAATCAGAAAGTCAGCAGCAAGAAAGTCTTACAGGGCTTCTGAGCGCTTTGGACCATGTCCTCCCTCTTCTTCAACGGAAAAAGAAACTCCATCCTGAACTGCAACCAACCTCATGCAAAAACAGGCGGCCCATGTAGACAATCAGAAACCCCTCGCTCCCTGGTCTCCCCCTCACTCTCACATGTCTCGGTGCAGGCCAGGGTTTGGTAACGCTCACACCAGCCTCACTGTGCTCTGCTCGCCGTGTCCTGCCTCCAAGCAGCTACTGCACGATGGACAACATGGGAGCTCCCGCTGCAGGCGGATGCTCCCTGGCCTGCCGCTGCCCGCATCACCCCGGGTTCCCAGCTCAGTCCCACATCTGTTTGCAGGGCAACAGGCAGCACCACCGTGTGCAAAATGGACACAGGTAAGCACGGATTCCCAGTGCCATCCTGTGCTCCCAATCACCAACACACCAGGTTTGACAGTTACTTAAATTAAGTCATGCTGAGCAAATGTGGGTCCTGATGGGAGGACCCTGGGCCTGCCAGACACGGCAGGGGCAGCCCGGCCTGGCACTGAAGAACAGCCAGAACAGTGAGGCACAGCCTGGATCCCTGCAGGAGCCCGGCCCTGCAGCGAGGGCCACCAGGGCCCTGCAGAGCAGAGAAGGACGAGGCAGCTCCTGGTCTGTGCCCACTGCCTTCCCAAGGGCATCCTGCGCTGGGCAATGGCCATGGGGACAGCTGGGCTGCTCGCAAAGGGCTCCCCGTTGCGCTGTGCAGTGATCAGGACCCTGCCCTCGTCAGCCGGCACCCCAGCAGGCAGAGGGAAAGCAGCCAGGCCCAAAGCTCGAGCAAGCGGCTCCCTACGGTGCCCTGTGCCAGTGCCAGCCTGGGGGCCATGAGCTCATGGACTCCCAGCACCCGGATCCCTGCCCTGCTGCCAAGCGGGGAGCCGGACCCCACAGCCTCCCTGCAGCCCCGCTGCCGGGCCTGGCCTCCCCGCAGGCCCGTCCCACGGAGGGCAGCGCTGGGCGCCGCGCACGGCGGGGCCGCTTGCCGTGCTCACCGGGAAGGCGATCTCGCAGAGCTTGGCCACCCACTCCTGGCTCTGCTGCTCGTCGGCCGCGAAAAGGTAGCTGCGCTCACTGGTCTCGAGGCAGAAGGCGGCGGTGCCGTGGCGGGGGCCGCTCTCGGCGGCGGGGGCCACGCTGATGCAGTCAGCCAGGCGCACGATCTTCTTGTCGAGCCGCTTGGTGCCCAGGCGCTCGGGCGGCGCGCACGGCTCCTTGCACTCGAAGAACTCGAGGCGGGCCACGCCGTGCTGGCTCGCCGGGTACAGCACGAACCAGTTCTTCTTCCATCGCTGCGGGCGCCACCGTCACCGCGGGCCAGGCCGGGACTCGCGCCCCGGAGCCACCGGAGTCACCAGAGCCAGCGGAGCCACTGGGTCCTGTGCCGGCACCCCCACCCCGCGGCCCTCGCGGCCTGCGAGCCCCGGGCACCACGGAGGGCAGCCGAACCCCAACCCGCCCGCCCCGTTCCCGGCCCCGCTCACGGTCCCGGTCCCGCCGCGGGGTCCCGGTCTCGCCCGCCCGCCCGCCCTCCCCGGGCCGCGCAGCGGGCCCTGGGCGCCGCGAAAGAGGCCGGAGCCCCGCGTGGAGCGACCCCCGCCCGCGCGCACCTTCTGCCCGAACTTGTGGCTCTGCTGCACGAAGAGCGGCCCCTCCTTGGCCGGCGGGTCCATCCCGGGCCCCGCTTCCGCCGCCCGCGCCGCGCCGGGGCGGGCCGGGCCGGCAGCTTCCACGGGCCGGGGCGGGGGCCAGGGGCGGGGCCACGGGAAAGGGCGGGGACTGGGGCGGGGCCAGGGGCGGGCACACGGCTCCTCTGCCTCTCCCGGCTCTCCCGCCTCCTTCGCTCCCTCACTCTCCCGTCGCTTCTCCGAGCCCCGGGCCCCGCCGCTCCGGCCCGCGGGCGCCGAGGGGCAGCTCTTCTCTGCGGAGCGGCGGGGGGCAGGTCCCGCCGGGCCGGGCCGGGCCGGGCCGGGAGCCAGCGCAGCGCCCGGGGCCGCGGTACCGGAGCGGCAGCGCTGCGGGCCCCTGCACATGTCCCGGCCCTGCCCGGGATGCGGGACCAGCCCCAGCCCCTGCCCGTGGCCCGTCCCTGCTCTGGGACTTTCTCTGCTCTGCTGTGGGTGCAACGTTATGTGCGTGTTTCCCTAATGCCTCCCTGTCCCGGCAGGGTCCTGCCCTGGCTGTGCTGGGAAGCTGGGACAGCTGCCCTCACACAGCAGCTTGCTGCAGCCTAGTCCCCATGGCCCACGAGCTGGCCAGGCCTGGCACCCTTGGGCAAAAGCCATACCATGCTGTACAAATACGTGCAAACCTAATAGAAAGTGGAAGAATGGGGAAGCTGATACTAAAAGTAAATGAGTTGGACAAGAACCCTGTTTTGCCATTGACAGAGAAAGCTGGCCTGGGAAAGAAGGATGCAGAGGTACTGCCAGGGGAGCCACTCTAGGGAAGAGGAGGAGGAAGCTTTGGAAAGAGAGGAAGAGAAGGCACCTATGAGCCTGGTAGCCCAGGGACAGGCAGTGTGTGCCCATCAGTGCTGGGGGGAGCTTGTTTCCAAGAGGATGGGGTGTGTTTGTGGACACCCAGGTGGGTTAAAACTCTGTGTGCAGCAAAACCCCCTTGCGTTTGCTCAAGGGGTGGGTGGGCTGCTGCTCAGGGGCCTGGCCATGGGAGCAGCCCCAGTGCAATCGGGTGCTTGGAGGAGGATCCTTCCTGGGCAGTGCCGGCCTCTTGCCAGGCGCTGGGAGCTGGTCCTGTCTGCCACACAGGCAGAGTCATCGCGATGCAGCCCAGCTCAGGAAATGCATTCACTTACTGGAACCTCTGCTCCCTTGCCCTTGCCTGGGAAAGGGCATTGGCTGATCTGAAAGTTGCCCATGATACAGAGCCCATCCAAAATGAGGAAGCTGCCCTGAGGGCTTCTTGCTATCACTGCTCAGGACATGATGTATTTTCTGTGAGGTTTCTAATCGCAGCTGCCAGATGTTGAAGTGCCCTGATGTGAGGCTGAAGGCCCAACCTCGCTAAGCCTCAGGTCTCTACTCAAATACAGGTTCTCCTTAACCCCTCTTTGAGGAGCAGTCAAATCTGAAGCTCTCCAGACTCCTTTACCTGTCTCTGCCCCCACTGTCCTCAGGGGAGCCCGTACCAAAGGATGCTCCTCCAGCCTGTAGGGAGAGCAGAGAAACATGGTTGGTCCATGGCAGGGTTCAAGCATGGGAGGATGATGGGGATCATCATTTCCATTCGAGCCCATTACCTGCTGCTCCAGCTAGCAGGAGGACACTCAGGGAAGACACCAGCTGCTGCAGCATCGAGCCTGCATTGGGCCCTGGTGCACAAGGACCTCCTGGGCCTGTGAGCAGCAGAAGCAGAAATACTGAGAAACACTGGGGAATTTGCTGAATCTAGATCTGTATTTCCTGCATTTGGTTTCACTGACCTGAACCTTCTGGAAGAGGATGTCCCTCTGACCCGCCTTGGTGCTCCCCCTCTCTAAGAACAAGTCTTGGACTCCAGTGCAAGGACCCTGTTGGAGTGTCCCTGGCAGCAGCGAGCCCCAGGGCTGCGAGGCAGATCGAGGGCGCTTGGTGCTCTCTTGGGCGGGGGCGGATGAGGCCTCTGTGAGGCACTGGGTAGCAATCGCTGTCCCAGCCTTGGTGGAAATCCCTGCCGGACGTCTGCACCTTCCTACCTGAGCAACTTGCCAAGACCGCCCTCGCTGCAGTTCAGGCACAGGCTCGGCAGAGTGTAGGAGAGAGCTGTGTTTGCTCTGTCTTGCTGCAGCTTGAGTTTCTGCAGTGGTTGAAGGTGGAGGAGCAGCTTTTATAACCCGTGCGGGAGCCCTGATGTGGCCGGACATGACTTGGTGCTGCAGAGGTCCTGGGGGACGTGCAGAGGACAATGAAGGACCATGTTGCTGCTCGCTAATGAAGACGTCCCTGGCAGAGGACTTCTTGCATGGCAGAGCTGCAGCTCCCCGCCTTGGTGCACTCAAGACCTTGCCTGAACCCAGCCGGCTTTGACCTAGGGGCTTTGACCCACACAGGCTCTGTGTAGCCCCCCCGCCAGGCTCCTGCAGCCTCACACTGTGCCCCGCTCTGCAAGGCTGGCAGCACAGACATGGCCAACGGCTTCAGTACCGTGAGCCAGCGAGGTCCCAACAGACTCCTGGGGTGTCTGGAGGCCAACAGCTGCGGGACCGCTGGGTTAGGAGCAGCAGCTTGGGGACAGAAGAGAGAAATGCTGTTTTGAGGGAGTCACCGACAACTGCATTTTGGTTCTTGTCTTTTCCTGTCTTTCTACTGGTTTCTATGTGAGACCATTGTCTATGGAGCAGAGGAGACTTCTCTTTCGCTGCAAGGTGACAGGCACAAGAGTGCAGCAGCTCTTCTCCTGCGTGTGCTCCAGAGGGAGGCCCAGGGATCTCCAGGGCAGGCCAAGCATCCAGGACACAGCAGAATGGTGGCCAGGGGCTGCTCCGGGGCTGATGCTGCCCTCGGTGCTGCTCTCGGGGCTCAGGGTCTCAGCCCCCAGCAGCACTCTGCACTGTGGAGGAGACGCAGGCAGCGATGGTGGCCGTGGGCGGCAGGACATGACTTGCTGCCCTGCGCAGCCCTGCTGGGCACGCGGCAGCAGTCCAGGGGCTCCGGGGCGGGGGGCCAGACCACACAGGAGGGAAGGGGTCGGGGCGGCAGCCCCTCCCCAGGGTGCTGCCCCCGCTGGCTGCTGCCGGTCGCCGCACTGCAAGGACCAGCCTGTGTCCTCCACGGCTCGGGCTTGGGTGACCTGTTCAGCCCAAGCGTGCTCTGAGGTCCCCCACCAGCTGCACTGCTCATGGCCCTGCACCCCTGTCCCATGGGGCTCTGTCCTGTGTGTCCCCACGTGTCTGTAATGGGGATTGAGAGCAGGATCTGTCACCAGCCAGTTAAGAAAGTCACAGTAGGATGGAGTTAGTCTGTGTAGGAGAGAGGTAGAGGTGTTGAGGGGGCTGGCGCCCAGCACTGGCCATTGGTGTGATGAGCTGCAGCACTGGAGGTGCTGGGGCTGGGCTGGGTCCTGGCGCTTCTCCTGGAGCACCTAGCATGGCAGTGTGGCACTCATCGTGCCGGGCGCTGGGGACAGCAGGGCTGTGCGGAGGCCCAATGAGAGCATGTGCAGTCACCTGGGCAAGCAGAACCATGGTGGGGACAAGCGATTCAGGAACAGAAAAGTGTAGGTTAGAGACACTGGCACAAGCCTGCAGCTGAGCCAGGGAGGGAAAGCAGGATCTGGTGTTTTGAGGCATGTTGGGAATGGGAAGGTCTCATGGCAGCATGGCCAGTGCAGGACCAGGGTGGGGAAGCTGCTCAGCCTGCTGCAAAGCACCCTGTGTTGGTCCAAAATAAGCCAAGCTGAGGCACTTGTGTTCTGTGGGACATGAAGTGCTTCCCAGCCTGCTCATCATGGGAAAATGCAAACCATCGTCCGCTGAGGAGCATAAATGCAAATAAATGAATAAGTCAGATGGCTTTCACAGAGGCAAGCCAAAAGAGCTGCCCAAGGAGACGTCTGCCCTGTGCTGTTAGTTTGCAGGCTGTCTGGGAGATTTTGGAAGGAAATGGTATTTTAAAGGCCAGGAAGGGCCTGTGTGACGGTATAGTCTGACCTGGAATAGCCTGGCCTTGATCTCTCTTGGACTCACTGCCCTCCTGTACTGGCCGCAGTGGAGCATCTGGAACGTTTCCCTGTGTCTTGGCTTGTCCCTGTGAATCATCCCTGGATTCTGCTACATCTGACTGCTTGACCCCAGCATTCCTCCTTCCCTGAGCACTTGCAGGCTGGAAGCTGCCCTGGGATTCCCCTGGAAGAGAGAAGCAGCTGGAGCTCAAGAGCCCCTTGTTCCCAGTTCTCTCTCTGCCTCAAGTTTATCATTTCCACGGGCCTCCTTCTTGTTATCAGCATCCTTCCCACGTCACTGTCATCTCTGTGACAGCCCTTAAATGGCCAGAGTCCTGCAGGGCATTTCCTAGTTATTCGGCAGGGCTGGTGCAGGCTGTGTTACCAGGAGCATTGCAGGGAGAGCCCTCCTAACAACTGCGGACTAAAGCCCTGGGGTCTGGGCATTGCCCACTTGCGACCGCCCGTGTCCCCATGCCCACCCCACGGCGGCCCCGCTGACCCAGCCAAGCAGGCAGAGGCAGGAGGGACTGTGGGTCTGACTGAGGCTGCCGCTCTGGTGACGTGGATGGGGCTTGGCTGCAGCGCTGGCCTTAGGACAGAGCGCGGTGTCGCAGTGTCGCGCTCAGCAGCACGGGCAGAGTCCCGGGCCTGCGGCGGGGCAGAGACCTGCACAGCCGCGAGTGTGGGCCCATGGGCAAGGTGGACACGGGCTCCAAGGCGGCTGCCTGAGTCTGGCTCGTCGCTGCGACAGCCACGAGCAGACACGGGGACAGGGCAGGACTGTGCGACAGTGACTCCCGCCATCACTGTCCGCTCATCTGGCCCAGCTCGGGGTGACCCCCCGTCGGTTGCAGCTCGGTGAGGGACGTCCCCCTAGCTCAGGCAGCAGGGATGGGGGCTGCAGCCCCGGCGGGACCCAGCCCAGCCTGGCGCATGCAGCGCCCTGGGGCTCAGCAGGAGCTGGGGCACACGAGAGCGATGCCTGTAGCACCAGGCTGCTGCTGCCAGCACT